AAAAGTAAAAAAAAACACGGAAGTTCAACTTATGGCTTTGTCATTTGTGGCTAACATGGTGTCAGTAGAAATGCACGCCTGTGATTAACGTAGCCAGCGGTAAGAAAAGGGGGTGACAGCCCGTTAGCAAGAGGGGCATTAGTGAAGGCTTAACATGCGCGGGTGGGTGGGGTCAGACTCATTCCACCCACCTATTTTAAATGAGGAAATATGTTTTGGGGAGTTGTTTTTTGGCAAGGAACGATGATAAGTTGCCTTTGTAAAAACAGCCTTAGCATTTATTTTTAACCTTTCCTTTCGTTTTCTTTTTCGAAATCTCAACTTTCTTTTTCTTTTATATTCTTTCTCTTTCATATTTCTACTTTCGTATTTCATGTTCTTTCTTTCATATTCTCTTTCTCTTTCTCTTTCTTATTCTCTTTCTCTTAATCTCTTTCATATTTGCTACTTAAAACAGTCTTGACATAACCTTCCTATTAGCTGGGCGGTTAGTAACTAACTCTTCCCAAAGTATAAGTATCTTTAGAAAATAGTTCTCCTTAGCGCCATATGGGAAATATTAAATTCACAGTATGATGCTACGTCAAATTCGCCTGACAATGATCACATCTTTGATTTTGTTGTCCGTCAAATGGCTTGTGCCAAGTACGATTTACTTCTCAACCATTTGGCTAAGCATTGCATGGTGCTCCTGCATAGCTCACGTACTGATACGAGCAAAGCATTTTGCAACTAAGATTTTTTAGTGACGATTAGATGCCATTTTTACAGCACACACACATGTATATATATATATATATATATGTATATATATATATATATATATATATATATATATATATATATATATATATGTATATATGCATATATATGAAATCATATTTTTTGGCTTGGAACGGCTATAACCTATTTTTGTAAAACCAGCCTCAGCATTTATTTTTATCCTTCCTTTCGCTTACGTTTTTGCCACCTAAACTTTGCGTGACTCAAGGTTTCAACTTGTAAGTAGACGGGGCGGAAATAATCGCGTTGGCATGCTTGCGTAGAACAATAAATCTCGTTTCTCATCATGACACGCAGTGGTTCGTTCCATGAGGTATGAAGTCCAAAACTAAATCATAATAAACTTCGCGAATCACCCACCTTAACTCAATGTCTGTACGAAGCCAGAATGATGCTTAGAGCCACCGAGCCAGCAATAATTCAGGTGTGTTCCACTGAGCACGCTGTAGAAGAATCATCTCGAAATATTGTCGTAGGCATGATATTAACCAGATACCGTCTGGCACGTTACGTCAACCGAGACTGTGCGAGCAAGGCTTAACCTGCGCCCAGCCGGAGTCCTAAGACAACCTCGCCCGACCGGAGTCTAAGACAACCACGCCCGGCCGGAGTCTGAGACAACCACGCCCGGCCGGAGTCTGAGGAAGCCACGCCCACCCGGAGTCTGAGGCAACCACGCCCGGCCGGAGTCTGAGGAAGCCACGCGCGGCCGGAGTCTGAGACAACCACGTCCGCCCGGAAGTCTGAGACAACCGCGTCCGGCCGGAGTCTGAGACAACCACTCTCGTCCGGAGTCTGAAAAACCGCGCCCGGCCGGAGTCTGAGACAACCACGTCCGCCCGGAGTCTGAGACAACCGCGCCCGACCGGAGTCTGAGACAACCCCGCCCGGCCGGAGTCTGAGACAACCACGCCCGCCCGGAGTCTGAGACAACCGCGCCCGGCCGGAGTCTGAGACAACCACGCCCGGCCGGAGTCTGAAAAACCGCGCCCGGCCGGTGTCTGAGACAACCGCGCCCGGCCGGAGTCTGAGTAAGCCACGCCCGCCCGGAGTCTGAGACAACCACGCCCGGTCGGAGTCTGAGACAACCACGCCCGGCCGGAGTCTGGGTAAGCCACGCCCGCCCGGAGTCTGAGACAACCACGCCCGGGCGGAGTCTGAGACAACCGCGCCCGGAAATTGACCTCCTCCCTTGCATATCCAATTTCCAGACCCCGCATGACAAAGCAAAGATACCGTTGTGAAGATCTTGTCAAACCATGAAAAAACAACCAAAAGTTTGACTTTAGGTCAAATGTAGGGTCGCCAGAAGTCACAAAAGGTCAAACACGATCGTTCCCATGGATGCAGTTAAAATCAGTGTTAACGCGTCAAAACGGATATTGTAAGCACGAAAATAAGCGTAAGACTGTGAGGAGTTCATTCCGGCCATTTCTGCTTCTCCACAAGTCAGGTCCGATCAGATAGCCGTCAAAAATTGGTCTATCAGTGGCCGACAAGAACAATACTTTTCCACAATGTGCATCTGACTAGGACTATTTTATTAGGTGAAGTTGTGGTACAAAAGTATTCCGGATAAGCAGGTCTAATTTTAGGCTGACCAAAGATTAATCTAAGATGAGCTTAGGTCAAATTCATAAACCATACAAATTACAAACTGGAAGTACTAGTAGCTGGGTCTATGTGACTTTTTTGTGGTCAGGAATATTGCATCGTTTATCTACAGGTACTTAAGATGGCATAGCTGTTGTCTGCATTGTACATAGTCCCTTCGACGCTTGGCAATGCATTTTCAACAAACTGAGGACAGGAACATTGGTACATGAAATTAGGCGTTATCAGCTTTGCAAACGCGATAAGGTGGTAGTTTCACGCGTCACACTCGTTAATATAGCCCCTCCGCTACTGGTAACATGGGTCATTCATTGACCTCGGTTGAAACTATATGACATTGCGTATCCTCACATGACTGTTTGTCACCCCATGATGCACTAGAATGATATCACAATATGTTTTGCCTGTAGTATTCGAATTCTGCGCTCAAAATGTCCTCACAAACTGCCTGTTTTGAGCTTGGCATGTGTTTTGCAGAAGATACCTACAGGGGTAGGGCTGTCCTGCATCAAGGCCATGTGCTCTTTGGTTGTATTATCATGTGAGTTAGTACTTTTTATTCCCTATAAAGCATCAACATGGCACAAAATAAGTACAAATTTGCATTCAATTACGAAAAATAGCAAAAGTTGAACTGAATTCAGGTCGTCAAACTCGCTTTTTCCGGCAAGCTTGAAATCAACAAATTGTTAGACCTGTCATGTTAGATTAATGTAGCATGTTTGAACAATCCCAAATGACATGTAAAAGGTGATGTGTAGTCAGAACGATTAGAGATTGGCCTTTTTGACCTGGCCTATGTCACCGATCTTTGTATATCAAAGATTCAAGTTCGTACGAAACATGCCAACTTAATACATAAACAGATAATGCGAATTTTGTGCTGGTGTGAGCGTTCGTTTTAACCTGTGCTTGAAAAACTGCAGAAGGGTAGTGAACTTCTCCCCCCCCCCCCCCCGGCACAGGTTAAGGCATCCAAACGGAAATATCTGGATATAATGCCTATGGTCTCCGGACTGAAAGAAATAGTCGAAGACAATCGATGGTCCATGTCAATTGCACCAAATATCTCTCAGTCATCATTTGTCCCATGCATCATGACGTCATAGGTCACGCAAATTCCCAAATGACTATGCAATTCTTGAATGGCTTCAGGGCTGTCTGCGTCCATAAAATAGTTTCTAAATCTGTCTGGCCGGACTCAAAGCGATGGCTGTGCTCTTCTCACTCAGAATCAAACAATGCTGTCAGCAACACGTGTGGTCAAGGGAAAGTCAATGTTATATCTCCTTATCACGTGTGATGTTTTGTTCTTCAGGCACGAATGCTACATGGAAGTCATTGACTAAGACATGTTTACATTAAACAGAGCGTTTCACATTTAAACACATCGAAGCAAGCATCAGGCATGGTGAAGCAAGCCCGCTTATAACTATTTGATGTATGCTACATGGAAGTGACCAGGCAACACAATTTCCGTGTTTAGTAACTATGCTCGTCAACACGTTATTGTTCGATTACATCTTCGTACCATACAGCACATTGATTGAGAGACAACTGACGTCTGTTATGTCTGGAATCGTCCTCATGAACGCCAGATGTGAAGGAAACGACAATTGTATTTTTGTTGGCCTTGATCGCCGTATGGTTAATTGAATGACAGGAATTGGATGACGTTATTATGGCGTCATGGATGCCTAGGTGACCTTGAAAAGTCTCCCCGAAAAAGTCAGTACATGTTCGAATGGGTGGCTCAGAAACTAGACGGTTTTAGGTCAGAATGTGGAACACTTCCTTTAAGCCGACTTGCTTGTCAAAAAACTTAAGGAACAAACATCCTTGATCCAATACATAAGCTGAATGACATGACCTCTGCCGATGACCTGCTGTGACCTTGCGTGGCGTGACTGATCCTGACTGGCGAACATTCAGATCGCACTGAGGCAGTCCAAATTTAGGGCGAAAATTGCGTATTGCTGCACATGAGATTACAAAATCCGTGCAGGTCTTCGCTAATAGCGTCGCAACACTGTGAACTGGCTCAGTGTCAAAGCATGTCTTGCGCAGAACACGTCAAGCTGGTCACCTGTCAGGTACTCATTAATTGGTAAGCCTGCCTGTCACAAAGCGGGATTGTTCTCGATACCCGGAAGGAGTACTTGTACACTCAGGCGGTCGCGGACTCACTGACATTGCACCAATGAACTTTCGGGGCGTCATTTGGCGCACACTTGCAGTCTAGGAGAGTTCTTCAGCGACTGCTACCACACTGCTTGCTGGAACTCAACAAGGAAGGGGGGAGTTAACGCACGTTGCTTGAGGACGGCGAGGTTTGCCATTTTGCAATGATGCGCACGCGAGTCCAAGCAAACTGATATCGCTCTGATCGGGCACGACTTAGACTGCCACCGCTCTGATCGGACACGACACAGATTGCCACCGTTCTGATCGGACACGACACAGACTGCCACCGCTCTGATCGGACACCACACAGACTGACACGCTACGCTTCCCGATAGCTCAGATGGTTAGAGGGTCTGCCCTTGGGTCACCCACCCGTGGTGGGGTGGCCTCGAACCGCTCGCTACGTGCCCCTGATCGTGATGGCTTCCTCGGCCGGTGCCATCGGCGGCGGCAAGGTCAGGTGACGTCAGGGGTATGACCCGTGCCGTGTATTGCGTAACCTTGAGCAAAAAGACAAGGTATGCGGTACCGCAATATCCGCGCCCAGTATTGCAGTTTTGTAGTTGACAGCGTTGGCGCAGATTCTCACGCTCGGGTGGTGAGTTCAGCGCTCACCAACAAACACTGCTTAGCCTGGACGCTGGTCCCAGAAATCCATCAAGTGAAAACGCTCGGACTAAATCTTTAAAAAGCGACAATGATCTTCGGCCCCGACACATTCAACACAAGTGCGCTTTGCGCACAAAGGGATTGCACGTAGTACGCGAACACAGGCACACACTGAGGACGACGTCATCAGGTGGCTAATGCTCTCTGAACCGACCGCAGTGTCGCGTCATCTGGTTGTCCTCGCTGCGACCTACAACGAGCGGCAAGCAGGCGGGGGGTGGGGGTGGGGGGGGGGGGGGAGTAGTTGGAGCTTCCGGTTACCTCCTGCTACATGCGGGTGAGAAGTGTATGCCATGGCGGGCGGCGTTTCATGCCTTGGTGCATCAAAGGTAACAAAGGATCCAGCCGGAGAGGATAGGTGACATTGGCGGGGCAGATCCAGTCCCGGGCTGAAGGTCGTTCTGTCCCCTACGTGTGACAGGGAAGCTTAATAAAATGCAACGTTAATCGATAGATGCGTGGTGTCACCATCCATCCGATAGAGCGATCTAATATGTATGAGAAGCTACCAACTTTGCGTCAAAATATTCCGGCAGAGTGTATCTCGAATGGATTATGCAGAAGACGGACGGCGTCCATAACTTAAATGCAGCTTTCATGCATATGTCAAGAACACTAACGACTGTCGCAGCCTTTATCTGGATTCCCTGGTGGGAATCCATTCTACGATATGTCACGCGCCGCCGCACACTATATTTTCCTCACCCGGTCTCCAGGACAGGCCTCGCCGTTCAGCAGGCGGCCAAGGTGTTACCTCGCCGACATTCTCAATCTTTTCGCGTGTGCTCAAGGGAGAGAGGTGGTTTCAAGGTCTGCAGGAAATCAACGAGTTAAATCACGAACAGATCGGTCGGTGATGGTTATTCGTGAAGCAGGATTCAGGGAGTCTGGAGGCATGTTGAGCCAGGTACCATCGATATGACATGGACAAAGTGGTCGTAAATTATAAGCCATCAGGGTCCCAAACTTAAAAATTTTCTCAACATGTATAAAAAATATGCCAGCCTGGGCACTCCAGATTTCAGCAGCATGCCCAAAATCGCTCGGTAGTTATTCTGCCAAAACCTTACAAAGGAGCCTCAGGGGCAGCCCGGGGTTACATGCCGCATGTGCCGTACTTCATCCGCACGAAACAGTACAGGCAGGGGGTGGCTGCAACCTGCAACGGGTCGCGTCACAGCAGAGCATGTCCCCAGGGATAGAGCCAGTCTGTAGTGCGCAGTGCAGTGGGCCGGGATCAATGGTTAGATGACCATCCGGTGGCGTGCTCAAGCATTGTTGGATGCCGGGAATCAGTTATCGCGGCTGCACACACAAGTACAACGACGTTAATTTCCGCGCCGTGTTCCGCTGCGATGGTCGCGGTAAGATGACGATGCTGGCTCTGCTCGTCACCCGCTTCACTTTCAAAAACGATGTTTTTTTAACTAAACCGTGTTTTATCACACCATTCCGTGTACAGTTAGTAACGCACGCATCAGCGGTGGGTGTGAAGACGCGTGAAAGTGGTGGGTCGGACTTGTACATGCACACCATCATGTCAGATACGTGTCACATTCTATTGCGTGCATCACTGGTATTACCGGTATCTATCCGCCGTTTGGAAGGATTTGTATATTGTCTGGGAAATAACCTGTGGACTGATTTAAGCGGACAGTTTTTAGCACCAATGCCCACAACGCTCGCTTAGATAAGACAGTACTAATAGCCTTATTCCTCGGAGAACAGCCATGAGGAAGGAGATACAGATGGGTTGATATTTCGGCAGCATGCCTTCATCAAGACAATAATAGAAGCAAAATGTTTTTCCGAAGGATAAGGCTTTTACTACTGCCTTATCTATATGAATAATGCTTCTCGCAAATGCACTGAACAACTAACGTTCGCATACTTTTAAAATTGCTTTATAAAATTTAAAAAAAATGTAATAAAAAATTGATTGCGCCTTACTACACATCACGCAACATCTGGACCTGAAACGTGCGCGCAGAAGCCGACCACCACTATAAAGGAAGCCCATCAAATGTCACATGCAGCACACGCAGCTCTAGATCCGAATCGCCATACATAATGCAGTCTTGAATGCAGTCCTCGATGCTAAAATGGGCGTAATTTGGCCCACTCTGCGGCTGGGAGTTTCATGCCAAGCGCCCATTCATACTGAAACAGGGCTGACATTTCCCAGGAAATGTTTTTAGTTCAGTCATCGCCGTGGTCAAGTGAATACGGAGAGCTTGCACTGGAGTCCGTATCGAACACACATAGCACGCAGCTTCGACTCGTCTTGCAGCGCGGTGTGCCTTCCCAGCCGGAGGACAGCCGGTTGTGATGTTATCCCAGATGCCAGAGGTTCACAGGGATTTATCACTTACGTCAAGAGCTTTGTAACAGGGCATGATTCGCTTAGTATGCTGCCGGTGCTGATCACGCAAAATTATCGATAAGCATCGCGTCGTGTTTAGGAGTTCTGCCCCCTGGACGGTCGTGGTGGTTATGCGCGCCAATGACCAGCATACTCCGTGAACCTGGCCACAGAAGCACAGCCTACATGGATCTTTTCTGATGACTCACGTACAGGTACTAAAGTTTTCACGTTTGCTCAACTGCAGCGTCTAAAGAGCAAGCTGGTGCACTCATCTAGGGCGGCTTCAGAAGCTGCCAAACTTTTCGGCTGGGACGGCTTTAGAATTTGCCGAATTACATTGCCGGATAATTTTTAGGCTGGAAGAAAATCAACATCAGCCCGTTGCTGTTAAAAATCTACTAGCATGAGACTGGAACCACGTGGTTGTACCACTGTCACATTCTTTTTTAAAGAACGCTCGAGGTACGTCGAAGCACAGGTACACCGCCCTCCGTCTTTTTTACAAGACCTGAGTCAAGAAGGCGGAGACTCAAATATTCTGTCGACAGCGCTTCAAAAGACAACTCTTTCGACCATCCACAGCTCGACCTCACTCACAGACTGATCTGTGCAGACATATCTCGAGGAGATTTTAAGCGTGATCCGTTCATTTCACGATGCATGGTTGCCCGTTTAGGATAGCTGAGAATATGCTACATGGGTTGCTCTTTACGTAGGTCCGACTTGGCGTTCGACATAGCCATCGCACATGGAGCTCGCGATGTCTAAAAATGCACGAAAATACAAAAGTTTGGAAGCGTTGTAGACAGTAGAAGTGTTTCTATCTCTGTAGATCGATCAGTAGAGGTAGATGAGTGTTGGGCTCTGACTAATGTGTGATAGGCACGTGGGATTTCACCCAGAAACAGCACTTACATCGATTTTTTGCGCGCGCCATCGGGGATTTTTGGTACATACACGCAATTACACGGCTGCTACATGCGAGTCTTTTACCATGTTTGGTGTTACCGACTGCTTTTCTTGTTAAGGGCAAGCATTACGCTGTATCATACGTTGATTTCTTAAACAGTAGCCATAAAAACATTGCATTTGCGATGGTAAAGGACTCAAATGGCACAATGTCCATTCTGTACGTCCTCGTCCACAAGGAAGGTGACCGACTGCAAACTTCAGTGTACGGAAAGCCTAACAAAGGAGACTGCGTGCGATCTCCCTGGTAACAGGCACAATATGACAGAAGGCAGTCTGTAGATTTGAGGGTGGATGAGGGCGTGGCAAGGGCTTGAAGGAAATCAGGGTTAACAAGGCAGCCGAACCTGACCAAATATGGTAGAATGCTGAATTAATGCGCTAGTGCTTTAGCTTATCCTCTCGTGTTAATGTTTAATAGGTCACTGCCAATGACCTATTAAAAACCCAATGACTCATTGTTTTTTTTCGGGAGTGCCCGAGGGCTGGCACAATGCCAATATAGTACCGACGTTTAAAAAAGGAGCAAACAAAGTGTCAGCCGTCACAGGCCTCTCAGTCTTAGCTCACGAGGATGAAAATTTTTAGCTGGCACTCAACCACGCTTAAAAAGGCATCAGTTGATGAATAGTATTCAGCATGTTTTACGTTCCGGTAGGCCCTGTTTGACATCTTCTAGAGTTCATGAAGTATGTTAGTTGTGAAGTGAACAAAGACAATAGTTTAGATATTGTTTATCTACATTTTGTCAAGGCGTTTGGTAAAGTGCCACCCCAGCGTTTCCTATATCACTCAACATCGCATGGTATTGAGGGAGCAATTCGTGGCTTGGTAGGGACTTGGCTGCAAGACAAGAAACAGTTAGCAGTCCTCAATCGTACTAGATCTCAGTGGGAACTAGTGGGAAGCGATGTTCCACAGGGGCCGGTGTCGGGTTCTTTGCTCTTTATGATTTCTTGTGAATAATATTGGGCTAGTATCAGAAAGTAAGGTGTGCATATCTGCTGCCGATATTACATTGAAAAGTGTATCGAAAAATGCCGACCAGGTGAAACTTGACTAAAAGAAGCTATTGGACTGGGCTTCTCTGTGTTAAATATCATCTAATTATGATAGGTTAAGGTGATGCATTTGGATAATTCTGACAGCGAGGGCATTTGCTATGAAATAGGAGGCTGGGAGCTGAGCCATATCGAGGAAGAACATGACCTAGGAGCTATAATTTCCAGGGATTTAAAGGCTGAAAAGCAATGTGGAGCTGCTAGGAACAAGGCGCCTTGAATACGGGGACTTATTAATAGGGATGTCCATTACAAGAGTAGGAATGTCGTTAACAAGTTGTACTTAGCTTATTCAGATCACACCTAGAATATTGTGCACAAGCATGGCCCACATGCTTCCAAAAATATATAGATAGGCTCGAGAAAGTACAGCAAAAGCATCTGGGATGATACATAGGATTGCTGCAATTTTGTAATGCAAGAAAAGGCTTAAGGCCTTAAATTGTATTCACTGCAATATCGTGGATTTAGAGGATATCTGATAGAGGCATTAAAGATTATAAAAGGAATAGCCAAGGTGTATCTACAAGGAGCACTGTAAATTAGGCCGAGACTAAGAGGAACCAGTTTCAATCAGCAAAAGGTAGGAGAAGAACTATGAAGAGGCAAATGCCATTTAGTCAAAGAGTGGTGAATCATTGAAATGGACTGCCAAACGAAGTCGTAGGAAGTCCCTCTCTAGCAACATTTAAAGATCGTTGGGGCAAATTCTATAGGTTTAAAGATCTCATTTATAGCTAAATTCAGGCGGGTGAGGTAGTAAGACTAGTTTTAAGGACGGGTGCGGAATATGGAGCAGACCAGCCTTGATGCCCTCCTCTCTCTCTCGATCTCGAGCTCTCGGCTAGAGAGAGCGGGTCCCCTTCCCTTTCGAAGCTTTGGAGCTCTATCTCTAGGCCTCACTTTCGCTCTCTCGATCTCCCTCTCCCTCTCCCTGCTCCTAGATCTCCCTCTCTCCTCTCTCCTCTCTCGCCGTCCGCCCCCCGTCTCTATCCACTCTTCTCCCCCCCCCCCCCTCTCTCTCTCTCTCTCTTACTTTCTCTCTCTCTCCCCTCTCTCTTCTCTCTCTCTCCACATATATACAAGATAAAGTAGCTCTCCTGGACTTTAGCAGTGCCGCTCCTATCCTGCTCGTACCGCATCTCCTTGGCAATTGGCGGCGTCCATAAAGTGATCTGACTGTCGCCTTTTGCCACGTGTCTATAGAGCTGCAACAGTGGACGTGTCAATGCCCCGGGGTAACAGTAAATGACAAATATGCGTTATATGGGGCGTTCAATGGCATAACTCCTCTTCCTCGACGCTAACGTGATTCCGATGTCCCCTAATCCGCGTCAATGGCCTGAACACAGAACAGCGCGTTCAGCCACAGCGCCGCGTCCGGCAATTGTGTGTCCTGGTATCTGCTGACCAGCGTGGTCGACATCAGCCTGGACTGAGCGGCCGTGTCCACCGTGTCCGCGGAGTCGGGGCGCAGCGGACACGTACGCATTGTCGAGTTCGGATGAGCCAGTGACCGTCATCAAATCAACTGCCGATCGCGACCGAAGTTCTGAGACGTGTTTGACATGTCTAAGATGCGGTCAAAGCGTGTGATGGCTGTCAAGCTTTGATGGACTTTGTGTCTGATGTTCGGGCACTGTGAGTTTGAGATGGATCTGTGCATTTGGACGCCTGTAGAATTCGGGATGAACTGGTACTATTGACATCTGTCAAAACGAGCAGTGTGTTGGCTTTGGTGTTCGAGGTGTGTCAACCTTGGTTTGAGACGGACCCGTGCTCTTAGTAGGTCTAGCGGGCACAGTGTGCAGGACCTTGTGCGCTTGACTGCCCCCTGGCATCAAATTTCTCTAGTTCCAGATAGGTCAGCGCCTTTGAGGTCTGGCACAGCGTTGCCAGATTAGCGTACTTTACATAAAGCTCTGATACTCCTGAGCTATCTGAGGTCCGAGTTATCAGTGACGATACCTGACTTCTGGAAATGACAGACTGCCAGCAATGACGGACACCGATAACAGAGCCCACTTAGATCGGAGTTGTCCACGCGCTTTCCATGCGTCGCTGTAGATTTCGGAGTGATCCCTTCCGACGCTAGCTTCGCCTGTCCTGTTCCGGTGCGCCTGGGGGTCGATGGGCTGATCGTGTTATTGGGAACCTGGGTCGGGTTGGCGCGGCGCCGGTCCTAAACCCCGAATGAGCGCCGCTAGAGGAGCTCTCAGCGGCTGGTTGTGGGCTCTAAACCTGAACGGCGCCCGCCTGATGCCGCTTTAAAAGGTGCTTGCATCGTTTGTGCTATGGACGACTGTTTATGACGGCGGTCGGCGATCCGACCAGGCTCGCAGGAACGGAGGAACGGAGGCTGTTTCGGTTATTGTTTTTTTGATAAGTAAAATTATGGAAGAACAGGAATATCATGTTCTCCTCCTGGATGAAGACATTGAGGTTTTGGTTTGTTTAGCCTGTGATTTCTTAGTTGGGTGACTGTTCAAAGCGGTCTGCTGGCTGAAGGAGATGCAGTAGGTCATCAGTCCTGCCGGGATCAATCCAGTTCGCTTGTGCTCACAGTTAACACGGTGCTGTCTCGCGCGGGGCTGGGGCAGTGCTGGATGGAGACGGCACCGATGCACATGCGCATACATGCATGTACACGTACATGAGAAATAGGCATGTAAATATAGATTTCGACTCCAGTGGATGCATGTCCGGCGTGTGGCTTGGAAAACATCTAAAATCAGTCATAACTTCGGCGGTTAATGCCTATGCGAGGCACAGGTATGTGCAACTGGAAAAGGGCATGGAAATCGGCGATGGGACCCAGGGAATATATTTGTTATGCAAAACCTGAGTTGAAACGTTTCTACCTACCTCTTTTATGATGGATTGTTGTCGTATATCTATAAAAATTATATGAGATGGTAATTATTTTTCGCAGTTATTTTTGATGATTCTTGCTTTTCGTAAATTTTACTGATATATTTACTGATAATTTGGGTTAATACGCGCCAGGGTCCGCCGGGCGCATGCTAACCAAAAGATGGGCGCATGCCTACCAAAGGATTCGTTATTCAACTGTCTACATCTAAGTAAAATTTGGTGCGGCTACGCCCCGCCGTTCGGAAATCATTTCGGAAAACCTTTCAGGGAGTGTCAACTTGGCCCCGACCCGAGTGTGTATTAGTTAAATTTTATATCTAGCTTTCATTAACATCATAAGCGTGTGCGTCCCACCAGCCGAGGAGATTGCTTGCAGCTCGCCTCTAAGAGCTGATGGAGCTGATAAGATGATGGGATGATGGCGATGATGAGATGATGCGATGGTGGAGCTGCCCAGATGAGCTGCTAAGCTACGCAGCTGATGCATAGATGAACTTCACCACAGTGGGATCGTGATGCATGGTTCTGATGTGCTGGCCTGTCCGCGAGAGGTGCTGAAAAAGCACGCCCAGAACATTACATAACCATGAGATGGCTGGCCGCTTCAATGTCAACTAGCGTATGCCATTGTACGCTTACTTGTTTCAACGCTGTTTTAAGGAGCAGGACAATAATTAAGCTTTTACAGGTTATTTAAACGCAGCTTCCTCGTGATTATGACAAAAAAGAAAGGCCTACGGTGGGTTAAGTGCTATATTTCGACGAGTGGTCTTCCGAAAACATGTAAAGGTAATACAACAGGCTGCATGGGACGTGGTCCCAAACGCTTTCGAATGTTTGAAACATACCGTTATAAAAAACATGTCGGACCTCAATATGTCAAAGAAACGGTCAAGGACAGTTATCGAGCATTGAAGAATACACCGTGAATACTGGCGTGCGAAAGCAATACATATATATATATATATATATATATATATATATATATATATATATATATATATATATATATATATATATACATAGTGTGTGTGTGTGTGTGTGGTGCTGTGTGTGTGTGTGTGTGTGTGTGTGTGTGCGTGTGTGTGCGTGTGTGTGTGTGTGTGTGTGTGTGTGTGTGTGTGTGTGTGTGTGTGTGTGCGGGTGTGTGTGTGTGTGTGTGTGTGTGTGTGTGTGTGGTGTGTGTGTGTGTGTGTGTGTGTGTGTGTGTGTGTGTGTGTGTGTGTGTGGTGTGTGTGTGTGTGTGTGTGTGTGTATAGATAAGGCTGACATACACTTTTTCTTTGTTAAAAAGACGATGTGGCACACATCGTCACGCCTCTCATGGAGCGCTAGGGACTGTATTGGCCACAGTAGCGCTCAGAGGCCTTGGTGCAACCGGGCTCGAACCAGGGCTCCCCACGTGGCAGTCCGATGCACCAACCAACCGACCACTGCGCCCCCGGTCCAATAATTCAACTTTACTTCTACCCAGCCGCCTTGGTTTTGCAAAACATACGTAAAGTTTTCAACTCGGTGATCAAATAAAAAGCTCTAATCAAATTAAGCAAAGGATGCATATCAGTCGGGCACCGGTGGTTAACTCGAAAAACTTAATATGATTAGGCTTTCCCAAGAAGTGATCGGCCATTTTCCCAGCTATGCGAATTGTGTCAAGATGACATCCCCCACAGCGAAATTGTGAAGGTTGCTCTGTCCACTGGAGGGGGCAAAAAGCGTGTTCGCCACATTTTTTTTTTTTACCGCGTGAAGAGGGTAATCGGATGTAAGGAGCACCCGGTTTTGGCCAGCGTTTCTCAATCCTGGAATTTTACCCCTGCCCTCTGTTACAGTAAACCCGCGATTAGCCGAGGGAGGGGGAGGGGGGCAAATTTGCCCGCCTGTAGAGTATTGGTGATAATACAAAAGTGCCTTGGGATATTTCTGCGAAGTTGTTAGTAGCCTTCATTTAATGAGTTCCACACCTCGCGCTAAGATAGCAGTCGTGAAACCAAGATGGATCAGGGGTGAGTAATGTCAGAGTGATGTCATTTCCCGATTTTTGATGAAATATGATAAAAACATGATTTTTAATAAAACCAGATTTTTAATAAAAACACAGTCGTGGACAAATTGATACCGAGGCCAAAGGAGATAACATATTTGGTGTCCATTAACGGGAAATGTGAGCCCATTACTCCGTTATCCATCTGCATTGTCCTTGTGTTATTTCCATATTACACATTGCAATATCGGCATGTCAGCACATCCAACATTTTTTACATCAAACTGAAAACAACGTACAGATGATAGCAGGTGTCCTGAATATGACTATGAAGGATGCCTGCTTCCAGTTTCAAGCACTTATCTGATAAATGACCGAGCTATTGTTTGAAATGCATCGCCGCGCATGTTTCCCGTGCCCAGGTGGGCCCCAGGCGGGCCCACCTGACGCTCAGGTGGGCCCGGGCCCGCAGACCAGCGGTCACCATGCGGCTCGCGTAACAGAGCGGCTTGGCCAGCCCGACTACAAGCGCCGCAAGACGGCTGCCAAAGAAGAAGACATGCTGTCAGTGTGCCAAGTAGGTCTGTGAGCGACATGGCATCGCTTTCCGTATGCTTACGGCTTGTGCAAGCGACTCCGACCGGCCGTAAGCGTAAGACACTTGATGTTTTTTTTTTTATTTGGGATGGGTTACAAGCTCTTGCACACATATGCGACCCATAATTGCGGCTAAGCTTTTCCTCTTTGCGTTTCGATCGTTCGAATATGACGGAAATAAATGGACCAAAATTGACATGTGGACCAATGTTTTAGCTTTCATCTGCACGGCATTTAAACTTGGCTCTAGGCCTAGTACGGCTGGAGTAACATTGGATGCCTTCCTAAGTAGCACGTTTCATCAGGATGCAATGATTTTACACCATGAGATACGCATATAAATAAAATGCGTTGTGGGAGCGATCAGGCAGTCCTAAAGTAACATTTTAAGACTTTGACCTTGACCTGTGACCTTAATGTACACTTAAGCTGAAGTGTGTGGTCTGAGACGGTACTCCACGGCGCTATCCATTGCAATTTGATTTTCTGAACCCGGCCAGGCCGTTCTTGAAATGAGCAGCGGGGAAGGGCGTCAAACCCGCCCCCCTCCGGTCAGTGGTGTGCCGCTGAGGAGCGCGGCTAGTGCCGGGTGTACACCCCTAATGTTGCCTGACTGTGATTCCAATAAATGCATTATGGTGTTTGTACCAAGAAGAAACCGCTCGGGGCCGAGCAATATCACTAATGACTGTGCTATGTAGCCCCACGCGGTGCGCCCGGCCAATAGGTCTCGGGCCGCTACTTATTACCTCCGACGGACTTCGTGTTGCCGGCCATAAGCCGGCGGAGCTCCGGCCGCCTCGCCCGGAGCCGCCGCACCGGCTCGTTGGCACGACTGAAGTCGAGCGTGGCCGCGCCTAATAGCAGTCGATTATACCCGTGTTAAGCGGAGTTTACTAATAAACTTGACGTGCGTCGAGGAGCTTACGCCTGAACGGCGGTGGCACAGCAGTGATTTGTGAATGGTAGAGGCCATAACAGCACGGCGCGGCCGCCCGCCACCCGCGTACCTCGCCTCACGGCGTTGGGGGGGGGGGGGTTGCTTTGGACAGCGACCGCCCGCTTGCTGACTGAAGAACGCTTTTTAAGGCTGTTTGCTAAGAGTAAGTGGAATAGGTAGAATGTCTGTGCAGTTCTCCCCGCTTTCGCACCCCATTTGTCATGTGGGCTCTACCAGCACTCCACGTGCGGATTAGCGGGCTGAGATCTTGGTGAAATGTATGAGCCACGTTGAGGAGAATGATGAGGGCTTACTTTGTGGGGCCTCTTGCATTCAATGCGATGTTGTCTGTAGGCTGGAGCTGGACATCTAATGACTGTTTATCGTGACACGGTGGACATCCAACAGTCGACTGGAGGTCTTGTGCATGGTGGATAACCGATCGATCATGTGCGGAGCAGACCTCAATATTCCGCCACTCTCACTGGAGAATAAGGCTGTGAGCTACAGAAATAATCCTAGCGATGACTTGCTCCTAGCGATGCCACACCACTGTAAGGAAAACATAACTGTGGGTGGTTAAACGCGAGAGCAGCCATCACGTCGTCCGTAGGGCATTCCAGGTGCTATATGAGGTGTGTTACGGCACTTCGGCTGCCGGTCTGTTTTCTGGGCCATATTGGTCGGGACTTCCGAAGTCATCCTGCGCATTTTCGGCCTTACCTTAAGCTTAAGGAATTATATCGAGCATATGGCTGGGGTTGTTTGTGTCTCGGTGAACGATCCGTTTCTCGCGCGGGCCCAAGCCAGGTCCTAAGACGGCAGTCCAGCACCTGTCCCCGGCCAGGGCTCACTCCCCTCTCGCACGCCCCTCTCGCCTGCTGCGCGTGCAGCTGGGGCTGCCGTCTGCGGCCGGGTGGCGAGACACAACAACCCCAGTCCAGCATCGACCCCGGCCTGCCGGGCCGATATCACCGGCTAGAGTTGGCTGCTGGGCACACCTGACCCCAGCGGCCGCGACCGGCCGGGCTCGTCTGACGACCCAATCAGACCGCTCGGACTCATCCCCGCTCGGCCTCATCCCCGCTCGGCCTCATCCCCGCTCGACCTCATCCCCGCTCGTCCTCGTCCCCGCTCGGCCTCATCCCCGCTCGGCCTCATCCCCGCTCGGCCTCATCCCCGCTCGGCCTCGTCCCCGCTCGGCCTCATCCCCGCTCGACCTCATCCCCGCTCGTCCTCGTCCCCGCTCGGCCTCATCCCCGCTCGGCCTCATCCCCGCTCGGCCTCATCGCCCCCGCTCGTCCTCATCCCCTCTCGTCCTCGTCCCCGCTCGTCCTCGTCCCCGCTCGTCCCCATCCCCGCTCGGCCTCATCCCCGCTCGTCCCTCATCCCCTCTCGTCCTCGTCCCGCTCGTCCTCGTCCCCGCTCGTCCCCATCCCCGCTCGGCCTCATCCCCGCTCGTCCTCATCCCCTCTCGTCCTCGTCCCCGCTCGTCCTCGTCCCCGCTCGTCCTCATCCCCGCTCGGCCTCATCCCCGCTCGTCCTCGTCCCCGCTCGTCCTCGTCCCCGCTCGTCCTCATCCCCGCTCGTCCTCGTCCCCGCTCGGCCTCATCCCCGCTCGTCCTCATCCTCGCTCGTCCTCATCCCCGCTCGTCCTCGTCCCCGCTCGTCCGCGTTACCTTCAGGCGGACGGGAGGTCACGTGGGACTCCGCTGCGGCCATGCGCACTGCACTGGCCAGGCCTGCACGAGGCGAGGCTGGCGCACGGCCGTCTGCACGAGGCGAGGCTGGCGCACGGCCGTCTGCACGAGGCGAGGCTGGCGCACGGCCGTCTGCACGAGGCGAGGCTGGCGCATGGCCGTCTGCACGAGGCGAGGCTGGCGCACGGCCGTCTGCACGAGGCGAGGCTGGCGCACGGCCGTCTGCACGAGGCGAGGCTGGCGCACGGCCGTCTGCACGAGGCGAGACTGGCGCACGGCCGTCTGCACGAGGCGAGACTGGCGCACGGCCGTCTGCACGAGGCGAGGCTGGCGCACGGCCGTCTGCACGAGGCGAGGCTGGCGTGCGGCCGGGCTAACCTAACCTAACCTAACCTAACCTAACCTAACCTAACCTAACCTAGCGCGAACCCCGCAGCGAACATGGCTGCGACACCGGCCCGACTCCGTACTCGGATTCGGACCAATCATTAAGAATGCAGATAACTCAGATTTTTTCAGTGGACAGCCATGGACGTGGGCTAATGCCTCGCAAACTGTAAATATCGACTGATGCACGGGACTGAATCAGTCGAATCTTGCCTTCCTGCGCTCGGCCTAACGATGCCACGACTAGCACTAACACTTCAAGTTGTTGAGCCCAGACCGGCCGCTATCCTGCAGATCGGACATCGGATCAGATTGGTCAGACTCGGGTCAGACTGGTCAGATTCGGGTCAGACTGGGCAGCACATAGTGCCATACCGTTCAGACATCGGGTCAGACTGGTCAGACTCGGATCAGACTGGTCAGACATCGGGTCAGACAGTGCATCAGCTTCTGTAAATGTCTCGCTGTTCCGCCTGTACCACGTCAGTCATGATCACCACAGCGATTTGGTAATTGAGCTGACTGCTTTGGAGCGTCAACGGTGATTTTGTTTGGACAACGTCAAGCGGACCCGGAAGCTGCGCGCGAGCAAGCCGGGCTGCCGCCTCTTTGCGTCGCGTCACTGCGCTTGCTCAGGACTCCAGCATGCTGAGTATCCAGACGCGGGCGGCTGAACACCCGCTGACAACGCTGAATCACCGAAGCGTTTCGGAGCCAGAACGCCTCGGGCGGCTTGTAGCCAAGCAACCGGCGCCCGACAGCCACCCACCCATACCACGTCTGCAATCTCGGGAGCGACTTCTTTTCCGGACCCAGCCGCGCGATTCACATCAAGATGAGACCATCGGTCTCCCACGGACAGATCCCGCATCATAGCCACAGGACTCACACGGCGCTCCGGCCCGATTGTTGAGTTCCCATAAAACCATTTGTTCGGCGCGGCGCGGCGCCCGTCCATCATTCCTCTGGATGAACGGCAGCCCGATCTTGCGGGCTCGCTGCTTCCTCGGTCCCATCATCCGGTTTCGCCGTGCTTTATCGGCGCGGTGACAGGTCGTGAAACCATGAAAAGCCGCTTAACGGTGGGACCAGACCGCGTTAACGTCTTCGCGCCCGGGGCGACGCGGCAGGAGGCCAGCGCTGGGCGGGGTGGCGCGGTCACGCCCCGGGGCGTCGAGGGCCAGCGCTGGGCGGGGTGGCGCGGTCATGCCCCGGGGCGTCGAGCGGCCAGCGCTGGGCGAGAAGATGCGATCATGCCCCGGGGCGCCGCGTGAACGTGAGACGGGCGACGCAGAGCTCTAGCACATACTCAGGGCCGCGTTGCCTATTGTCAAACGCCGTCCACCATTTGCTAACTATGACGTCACGGGTAAGTTCGTCACAACCGTTCCTGCGGCCTGAGGTAGAGTCGCTTATGTGTTCTAACAAAGGTAGCAGCTCAGGTAGGCACCGTGCCAATGGAGAGCACGGTCCAGGTGTCGTTTGTGGTGAGTTTGTGTTTGAAGAGGATTCTTCTTTTACTTGGTATGTACCTGTCACCTGCGATTTGCCTCACTTGTCTGCTGCGTTCATGTTGGGCGGGCATAGCTTCCACCTTAACTTGGAAACAACAGATGGGTAAGTTCGACAGGGTTGACTCCGTGAGAGCCGTTCACGCTAACTGCTTATTGAACTGTTAACAAGATTACATTGACAGATTTCCGCATCTGTACTTGGAGAACATTGATCCTTCGCAAACGCCACTCAGCGCTAATGGCACCAGCAAGACTCACCGAGCCACACCACGGCACGCGTGGCGCGGCCGAACGACCGGTCCTGCTAGCTATCAGCCGCGGTTTTCCGGAAGTGGCGGCACGTGCGGCCAAGCGGAGCTCGCGACAGCGGGGGGGGGAGGGGGGAGAGTGACAGAGGGGCGGGCGGCCTCCGCTGCGGCGGCGCGGCACGATAAAGTGG